CAAAACGTCTATATCGCAACTTCAGGTAACAACATTTACAAAAAAATCATAATTTTCTAAAGAATTGTGTAAAGCCATGTTATCCGCCAATATTTCGTTGCATAAAATCAATAACCCAGAATTTCGTTTACTTTTGGAAAAATATACGAATAGAGACATTCCGAATGAATCTACACTACGTGAAAATTACATAAATGAAGTGTACTTCGATACTTAAAATAAAATAAGAGACAATATAAAGGAAAATAAAATTTGGGTCTCAATTGATGAGACCACAGATGTTAATGGAACATATGTGGATAACGTTGTGATTGGAACACTTCAAATCGACCAATCAGGAAAAATGTACTTATTAAATACAGAAATTCTAGATAAAGCAAATTATTTAACAATAACAAAATTATTCAATAAATCAATGTTCCTTCTTTGGCCCGATGGTATTCGTCATGATGACGTCTTTATGTTTCTGAGTGACGCAGCTCCATATATGATAAAAGCAGGGACTACAATTAAAGCGCTGAATTGAAAAATGATTCATGTTACCTGCTTGGCCCATGCAAGGCCGTATCTAGAAATTTTTTTCGGGAGGGTTCCAAAACATGTATATTGTAATTTTATTGAATTAAGATGTTAACTTTTGATATTTGGTTAAAAATAAGACAGAAAAAGATTTAATCTTCTTTTATTAAAATTAATATCATATTTTCATATGATATTATGATATTAAATTAAAAGCAGTCAATGATTAATGGGAGCTTAAGTCATTTTTGACTGAAAATATTTATGTTGGTATTAAAAATAAATAAGTATTTTAAAAATTCTTAAAATATTGAAGAAATTTCGGGGGGAGTCTAGACACCCTGGACCCCCCCCCCGATACGGCCTTGGGCCCATGATATACATCGAATTGCAGAAGACATATGAGAAAAATTTGAGAAATAGATAAACACATTTCTAAAATCAAACAAATATTTTTAAAAGCACCAAGCCCAGGTATTATTTTTAAAAATAAAGTAACAGGTACACCATTACCTCCACAACCTATTATCGATCACACGCCGGGGCACATGGCTTGAGGCTGCATCATACTATTGTAAATATTTTAATGAGGTAAAAAGTGTCGTGCAAGAACTTGATCCTGATGAAGCTGTTTCAATAAAAGTTTCACAAAATATTTTTACTCAGATTTCCACTTCAGCCGATTTAGTATTTATTCACTCGAACTACGGTTTTTTGCCGGACGTGATTTTAAAATTAGAAAATCAAGGACTTCCGATAATTGAAGCTATTGGAATAATTAAAAATTTTCAAAATAAATTAGACAATATATTTTGTGAAATCGGAATTTCAGTCCTTGAAAAATTCAAGAAAGTTATTGAAAAGAACAAGGGATTTGAAACAATTATTAAAATAAATGATATACTCACTGGACAAGGAAAATGTTTCGATTGTTTACCCGAAGACTTGACAGTAAGCGATTTACCTTTTTTTAAATACGCTCCGCTTACATCAACCGACGTATAACGAAGTTTTTCGAGATATAAGAACTTATTAGCTCCAAATAGAAGAGCGTTCGAATTCGAAAATTTAAAACAAACACTTATAGTCCAATGCAATAATGTATAAAATTTAAAATATTTAATATTTTTAGTATACTCATACATTATTAATTATAATAATAAAATATAAAAAATATTTTTTTTGGTAGAATTAAAATAAAACGTCTATAAATTGTAACGAAACGTTGTTATTTTTTAGTGCAATTTTAAATATTTTAGGAGCAATTTTCGGTATTTTTTAGTGCAATACTGCAATCAATTTTACTAATTTTTACTACTATAACATCCGTGCCCTATTGATGAATAATGCAATATAAATTGGTTCAATTTAGTTTACTAAAATTTAAGTGTTCTGACGTAGAATAACCCCTACATGTATATCGAGACTAGGTTGTATAAATAACAAATTCAATTTTGAAATTGACTCACTTGGTACCGCAAAATAAGATTAATTATCCATTCATGTACATCGAAAAGTGAAATCAGCACAAGAAATAATGTAAAATTTTGTAATGAATAAAACTATTTCTAACAAAAGCAATATAAAGATTCATCATACGGCGACAATCATAGACATACACAAACACAATGCATAATCGTAGTGCAAATCGGTTTATTAATAATTATTAATATATTCTTAAAATGGATCTTACATTAAAGGCTTATTTTTATACTTCACATGCAAAATTAAAGTTTTTGTGGTTCCATATTATTGATAAATGTTAAATTTCAATCGCGAATTTAAATTTTCTTGACTATAAAATAAAAAGGTTTATATTATTCGGATACTGTAATTATTTTTAGATCCAAAATCTATGTAAGTCATAATTTAATTTTAAGAATAATTTTTTTTAGATAAATATATATAGGCTCCCACTAAAGCATGTTCAAAGGACCTATTATTCTGTTGAAATAATTATATATAAAAAATTTTAAAAATAATTGTGTTAAAGTAAAATATTTAAAATCAATAAAATTGTCTATTGTGATAATATTCTATAAACTTACTTAAACAAAATGTATGCATTAATCATTTGTAGAATGTACTTAAAAATATATAGAGTTGATGAACAACAACATAAAATAAATTATAAAAATAACCATTAAATACTCAGATATTAAAATAACTTATATTTAACTTTTTTAAATATTGAAGTATATATATATATAATGTTAACTTACTTTGTTTGAAAAAAAGTGGATTAGAAAAATCAACAACTACAAACTCGATTTATTTCGGTACTATTTTCAACTAATATTCATTTTTTTTTCTCATTAGTACACAATACAACAACAAATACTATAGACTTATAAAGAAAATTTTCCCTATAAATTAAAAAACGAATGTTTGTAAATACATTGTACATAATAAATGTTTATGTATAATTTATAAATAATACATGTACCAAACCAATTAAAATTGTTGAACCATTTTGAAATCATACACAGAATAAATATAGTTTTTAATCCAATAAAATGTGTGAAATAAAATATAATACTTGCTTAAAATACATTGGTTTGTATAATTATCAACTATGCTTCATCGAATAAAATATTACCTCTTTTTAATATTTTATTCATATTAATAATTATCACCTCTAAGTTTATATTATTGAATCACATCAAACAATGTTTAGGTATAACCACATTTATTTTATAGTATATTTATATTAATCTTGTGGTGAGCAAATAATAATGCAACTGCATTTGTGTTCGTAGAGAGGGGATGCGTAAAAACATATATAAATTATAGTATAGATGAATACGTGTATTTTGTAATTATTTGTATGAATACTTCGAATTCTCTGTGCGTCACTATATTAATCAATAGTTAAACGAATAAAAGCACAATATACATCGGTGTAACGATTATTCCACAATTACCCATATAGAGGCTAAAATAACTATAAACACATTTACATATAACAATATAAGACGCATAAACCGTAATCGATAGTTTTCGAAAAAAATGTTTATCGCTCATGCTTTAGCTTATAACGCTAGATACTGTGGTGTTTAGGTGTTAACCGTTATTATTTATAAAAACATTTACTCTCAACAGAACAATTTTAATAGCTCCCGCGTCGAAATAATATCACGTTATGCGCACCTACATCTGGTTACGTAAAAACGCGATACATCAGTCAATACCAGTGATTAATCATTTCATGGGGTTAGCCGAGGAAGGGGGCATAAAACTCTTCCGGAAAAAGATGAACACCCTTAAATATTTTTATTTATTTTTTAATATTTAGAATAAACCAATATATTTTTTACAACCCATCTGGAAACGTACGTTTCCACCGGAATAGAAGGTCTGAAATAAACACTGATCACTATGCACTACACGTTTAGTAAATAAAATACGGATAACGATATTATAATATCGTGTACGTACGACGTTATTATGGAATAGGTGCGCTTTGATGTTCATACGAGGGCCAAGGATGGTGGCGGGGGCGTAATTCCCCGGAAAATCATGTGACGGTCCGGCAGCGGTACAGGTCGCGGAGAGTCTGTTGCGCTCCCTGCAAATCTTAATAAAAACACATACATGTATAAATTTATATACATACGTACACCCCAGCCTTTTGACCCCACGATCACGTCGTATCGGCTGCACGGGGAGTGGGGTAGTTGGCTTTGAGTGGTGAAGAGGCGAGCAGAGGCGGCGGTGAGTTAGAATCGTGATGGGGGATGGAAAAAAAGGGTTGAGGGCGTGAAGGGTGTGGTCGCACGTGGGTGTGTATTGATGTGTGCCCGGTACGCGGCGGCGGCGGCGGTGGCGAACGGCCGACGGGGACCGACCGCTGCCGACCAACGCTGAACGGCCGACTGTGCCCTAACGAAGAGAGACGCGCAATCGGGCTAGCGACACCGCGGCGCGGGCGTCCGTCCGCTCTCGTCGGCCACTCCGCCGTGACGTTCGCATTCGCAGTGCGCGGCGGCACCGGGTAATCCGCTCGGAGCGCTCCGCCGTGACCCGGCGCCGACCGACGACAAACGGGGCTTCGACGGTCGCGCGCGCGCACAGGTATCGCACCGTGCGCGCGCCACAGTCGAGCGGAACCGTGCCGGCGACTTAACGCGGACGCGCAACGCTCGCCGGTCGTCATTCGTACGACTGCTGCACAACAACGTACACGCGCGCCGAGTTCTCTGATACCGTTTGCTGCCCATCCGGCGGACACCACTGCTCCGCTCCGGTTTTACAAAAGACATCTTGCCGCAATCGTTGTACTTACATTTTACGCGCGTCTCCGACCGAACATCATTTTCCGCATTTCCGCAGTTGATCGACGATTTCGACATTTATTTATTTTATTATTGTTTTGTTATTATTATTTTTTTTTTTCACTACAATAATTTTTTTTTTTTTTATCATTTTTTTGTGTTCGTTTTCTCCGCTTTTTTTTGATAACATTGTAATTTTACGTACGATTGATTTTATACTTTTTTTTTTTTTTCCGTTTCATTTATTATTACCGTGGTCCAATTATACTATTGTTTCGTCAACGACAACATGCGCATGCATAAGATGCAGAGACGGGTCACTGAAATCCGTCAGTAACGAGATCGTTCAACGAAACCGGTGAGTACCTATAAATACAGTATCTGAACAAAAATATAATTTTAACAATTGGTTTAAGATCACTTTAGAATTTATTCAATATCGTTCATTTGAAAAACAGTTGTTTTCGATTTTCAACAATTGTTTTATCAAAGTACAAAAATATGTTTTATTTGAATACTTTGTTAATTGTAATTATAAATTATGTAGTATAAGGTTATAGATATAATCTGTCCAAGGAAAAATTCAAAATAACAATACGCGTTGAAAAATAATGGATAAAATTAAATAATTATAATAATTATGTTACATTGATAATAAATAATAACTATTTTTGAGTATTTAAGAGAAAGTATTTATGAAAAAAAACTCTTGTATCTACCCTCAGAAATTGTGTTTCGCAGAAATTTTCCATAGTTAAAACTATTTTTTCCCTCTCCTTTAAATTATATATTAGAAAACGTTATTTTTATAATTTAAATTTTATTAACTAAAATCTATGTTGATGTGTTTTTTTAGTACCTAATTGCAATTTTCCTTGCATTGCTAACAAAATATAATCATATTTAACCAAAATATATTTTGAGCCAAGTTTTTTATTGTGACCGGGCAAGAATATCATGATTATTTTTGATGACCGATTTTCTTCCGAAACAAACTTATAAAAATTACATTATTATTTTCACATGCAACTTTTCTGTATTTTATTCTGAGAATTATAAAAATGATTTATTTGGTCAACTTATTTTAAATAAGATTTTATCCTCAAATATTCCAACCAAATTTAAAATTTCTAATTTTAAAATGAGGTTTTTAATCAAAATTGACTTAAAATAAAAGTCTCTAAATTATTATCCCAACACACAATACACGATAAATTATATGATTTTTATTTACTCGTAATAATACATTTTAATTTTAAGAAAGTATAGGTACTTGTTTTATAAAAAAGACTAATGGAATAAATATAATAAATTGTAATGTACATTACGTATTAATATACGTAATAACCATGTATTTTAAGTAACTAAATCATATAACAACTAATTTTGTTTTCCTAAGTTAATTATTTATGTACATTATCATACATTTTTATTTATTGAAAAATACATTTACGAATTAACTGGATAATATTATAATACAATATTATTTAATACAAAACTTATAACTTGGTTAATATTTGTGTAGTTTCATTTTTTCAAATTAAGAAAATATTCATGTCTTTGAGCTATATTAAATTCAAATCAGACTCTATATCAAAATTATATAAAGTATTTTAAAACTAATATTTTGAGTACATAATTATTAATCTGACGTGATCTTACTCTTTTTACGTTTCAAAGTAGATAGTAGTTAATTATTAAATTTAAATTCACGGTTTTCACAAAATAAATATGTCTAGTTAATCAAACATATTTTAATTCATTATATTTAATAAATAGAAAATCTCCTTACACTTAAAAAAATATTTATATTTACATAATTTACATTTTTTATATATAGAAAAAATACTTTTGTAATATAAACTTTTGTTTCCCTGCTTATTCCATTATCGATTGTCATAATGTTCAAGGGTACCCATTTTCGTCACTCATAATTTGTATAGTTAATTCTCAATTATATTCCTTAAAAATACATAAAATGCAATTATTGTAATTTTACGACATACATTTTTACTATACATGTAATTCATTAGTAGTATTGTAAGTTATTGTACACATTTCAATTAAAAATAAGTACTGTGTATATATATTAAAAAAATATATATACACATTGTTTTTATCTCTATTTCATATCAAAATAATGTTTTCGTGTCGCGAATAAAAAATGCTGATGTACAATGAAATAATAAAATGTGACGTAATACTGTTTTTTAATAACACGCAATGGGGAGAGATTTTTCATATGGCAGCTGTCCGATCTAGAAGGGTTTCGACCGAATAAGCGTTTTCAGGGAGGATATGTGAGCGTATTGTATATTTATTTTTTTCCAGAGAAACTACGGCCCGTTAAAAACGTACTTTGGGATTTTTTTATTCTCTGTAGATTATTACCTATATTAATATCTTATCTACTATTAAGTACGAGATTAAATCAAATTTATTAATACGAAAAATAAATAAAAATATATTATATAAATAAATAAAAAAAATGTTGTTTTCAATTATTGTTGTATTGTTCAGAGCAAATAATAAATTTTTTTTTTGAAAATTAACATATTTTCGATTTTAAAGTCTAAAAATGTTCTACAATTACAACATGCTTAATATTTAGATTTGATAAATGTTACAATAGTTAGTTTTCATACGTTTTTTATTCAATATCAACAAAACTTTCCGTTAAACACATTTATTTTTCTATACAAGTATAAAGTTTATATGGTCGTTAGTCATAAATACATGTTTAAGTTATTTATATTAATTATCCTATGTATAAGTGGAAATTCATATATAGTTTGTATTACATATTTATACGTTTAAGATAATTAACACTCACAATTTTTTCAAATAAAGTGTTTATAGCTTATAAGTATTTTAAAATATATATAATTCACATCACTTATACATTATCTCTTTAGGTATTATTTTTGCTTCCTTTTGGTACTGAGACATTAAGGATTAATGTCTTCTTAACAGGAACGGTATTTCCTAATATTCTATACTAGATCGTTAAGTCGAAAAAACAATAGAACCAATGTCCTTTACACTAATGGCACATCACTTAGGTATTTAGTTTTAATTTGTTCTACTAAAACTTGTATGTTATTAGAAGTCACGGACATTGCTTATTATTAATTATTATTATAACTTAGACCCCCTGGGCAATAGAAATTATTTTATCATTTTTTATATTCCACATATTCAGTTGATATATATTTATGACTAAATAAAATTTAAATATTCAAATTATAATTCTGAAATTATGTTTTGAGTTTCGTTTTTAAAAGTTGAATTAACAGTTTATTATTATTTTATTTTATTATTTTATTATACCTATACATATTTCAAGGAAATTTTTAATATAGCTATCATAATTGTTATTGATAAAAAAAGCATTAAATGAGAATTAAATTACTAAATATCAAAATGTATTGAAGTTCTTATAGTGTGTTGATTGTATTAAATAAGGGTGTGTGATTCATGACCCATCTCAATATGAATACATCTCAGATGATTATTAATTTTTGACGAAATTATTCAGCTATATCCGTAGGTAGATAAAATTATAAAATTATGCTGAAATACATATATAATGCCTGAAGTACGAATCTTATCAGCACGATTATAATAATTATTATGATCATTATCGATTCTTCTATGCTTTTTAGGCATAATGATAAAATTAAAAACTTAAAATTATGAATCGATTATTTTGCTATTTGATTATAACTCTAAGATATATTTATAAATATGTGTAAGTACCTATATTAAATATTTATTAATATATATATACATGTGGGCTTATATGAAGGCGGGCGGTTGGATAATTAATCTCGGTAATATATCGACATTTTTAAATAGTATTTGGGAGTGTTTATCATGTACTTATTGGGATTAATACTTTTTTACTAATATATTATAATCATATTTTTTTAAAATTATTTAAAATTGGTTAGATATATAGTTGAAAATATAATTATATAGTAAAATTAGGATGTATTTCAAGTGCAGTACAATTAATTTTGACAATTATTTATTCAATTTATTTTCAATGGATATTTTAAATTTTCTAAAGATCATATGTTTTTTATCTTGATTATTATATACAACTAATGTCCTACTAGTACTAGAGTTATGTTACGTATAATTTACTTTCAAGTTGGTGAAAAAATTGTTCAAATATGTCAACGAGAATAAATGATAAATCGCGTTGAATTCAAAAAAATAAACTTAAGTTATCTTTGACGCTTTTCTTTAGACCATTACGTTTAAACATCAGTATGGAATTCTTGATGGACGACAAGCAATTTAAATAAATTCTTTAAAGAGAAAAAATATCGTTTTGGTAACTACTAGATATTCATATAATATATCATTGAAAGGTCCAATTCGTGTTCAGAATACAATTTATAACTTTTATATATTTATGTATACGGCCAGTTTTACTATAATGTTTGAATTTTATCTTTCCCAGAAGGGTAGGTATATATTCTTGGTTTTTATACAAAATTAAAATTATATTGTTTGTATTTATGGGTAAGGTTGAGCTTATACTCACACTGATATTTGATAGTAAATTAAAAACAAGAGACACTAAAGTTTTAGTAGTTAAATATAGTAGCATAATAATATTATTTAAATTTAAATTGGAAATTATACAATTTTTCTCGTCGTGACATTTTAAATTAAGTAAATAATCAAATAGAAAATGTAATATTTTTTTTGTATACATCTTTAGTAAAAGGTTTTAGCAACGTCATTCGACCTTAGCACTAAAAAATTCGTTTTCCTTACCCTATCATTTTTTACCATCACACTTATTTCAAATATATTATGACCTTTTATAATCATTGATTAGTTGAACACGTGTCTTACCAAAATGTACGTGTACATTATAAAATTATAAACATTCTTGTTACGTATATAAAATAATTCAGTGTGACGAAGGAAAACAAGGATAGGATTCTTTTCAACAGTTTTTCTTTTATGGAATTATTTAATGGACATTTACGGCTGTAATGAATTAATGGTATAATTTCCTGGAAAATCAATCTCAAGTGTTTAGTCTAATTGATGAAGATAATAAATGCATTCATTTTTTTCTTCTTTTATTAATGCAAATAATTCAATATTTTGAATTATTTTATTTTATATTTATAATTACTAATTTATTTGATGAGTGTTTTATCTATTTTGTTTACAGAATATAACTATGACGTGTATTAATTTTACTTTTCTTAATCCCATCTTTCTTACATTTAATAGCACAACCCAAATATTATCAAATAAATGTTTGCCAGTAAATTTAAATTCTTTTTAGATTTATTTCGTTGCTTATATACTTTGTTGAGTTAGTTGGTGCTAAATTTTTCAATTTATCTGAGTAATAAAAATAATTTATTTGTGAGGTAATAAAAAAAATGGAGAACCATTCCTTTGAAACATTTAAAAATGTTAATTTAAATATAAATAATATAATAAGCCTATTTCAACATTTAATATAAAATACATTTTTTTTTTTTTAAAAATCACCACAAACATCATCACAATCATCACAAACAAATTTGATTTTAAAACCAAAAAAACATATAAGACGCTTATTTAACATTGAATAGTGTATGTTACTAAAATATAAGGTTTTTAAACTTCAGGTAGTTAATTTAATTGACTTAACTACAGTTTATTTCTAATAAAGTGCAATATCAATATTAATCTAGACTATATAAAAATGTATAAAGTGATTACTTTAAAGCTAAATTTAAAATTGCTCATAGCCCCATCGGAGACACTAGCAGCCACCGATATTTGCCGATACACCTAGCCAAGGAAAATAAACTAGAGGAAATGATTATTTATAATTTACAGCTGTCCCGCAATATTCTTGAACCGCTGATATTTAATATTGCAGTTGTAATTTATTTTTAAACTCAAGCCCAACGATGCGAGCCGAGTTTCTCTGGTCCAGCGGTATAGTCGCGTTTATAAATAAGACTTCGTTAATATTTATTTTATTTTTTACTTATATGCAATTTTATAGTCCCATAATCTTTTTAGAATTTAGAGGTTAACAATCCCTTCCTTTATTGATAAAGAAATTATAAATTGTTGAACTATTTAAAAATATATATTGCATAATGGCAAAAAAGGGATGACATTTATTCTCTGGGATTTAATCGTAACTTATGAAGATAATATTATGATTCATCGAGAGTGATAACTTTTCTTTGGACGATTTGTAATTGAGTAATTTCCTTGTCAACTACCGTCATTTAATTATGTCTGAATTTTCATAAACATATTGTTTTGAAAAATTAAAAATCTATAATAATTTTTGATTTACTCAAATAGATATCGTATCCACGAATAACAGGATATTTTAAATCGAATTTTAATCATAAATATATTTGCTTGTTAAAAACATGATAAAAAAAATGTAAAAATTGTTGATGAATAAATATTTATATAACATAAATTATGTAAATAATATGTTTAAAAATATGATGGAGAAAATGAGTATCATTTATAAACAATGTATCTATATAGATAGAATTTATTTTAAAACCGAATTAATATATTAAATTTACTAAATGGTAATATATATTTTTTTTTAATTATGAAGTAGGTACATAAAGTAATGAAGTTATATTTCTCTCGCTCACTTCTAATCTTTATTGTTACTCATTATAATTATTCAAACACTTCACTTTAGGTTTTGTTCGACTACTCGACATGTTTTTAATGCAATAAAGACTTTATCGCACTATGTACCCATTATTGCAATTAAAATGTCGTTGGGACATATATTTTAGCGTCGTAGTTGGTTCAAGATTTAGAGAAAATTGTTACTATATTTTCCTCTTTTTATTAATATACGAGATCATTTTTATTTTTTTGCTATGGTAAACTGTCACAAAGGATTCTGAACTGGTTTTATTTACGAGACTTTGCGAACAGTAATCGTTTTCTATGTGCAATACTTATAAGCGTACAATTCTAGTCTCTCTCGTGCTGTAGTCGCGCTATCGACGACTTGTTGGGATAAAACATATAAAACAGTGTTGGATTATCTGCCCCTCCTCTGTGTGTGTGTGTATGTGTGTGTGTGTGTGTGTGTATGAATGAGTATTTGTGTGTGTTTGTATGTGTACTCTCTGTCGCAACAAATCGATTTTATTCACCTCATTCTAACCTCTAACAACTAGAATCACATAAAATGTTGAGTTATTTGATATTGTGATTTCGTTAGGTTTCGTCAGATCATTATTTATTATTAAAAGATCACCAGGATTGACATAGATTCGATTTTCATTTCTCATGTTACCGTCGAGTGACGATATACCATGAATATTGACAGTCTGCGGAATCATTGTACTTAGTATATTGTCGTCTATGATACCATTCCTCCAAGTCGGGCCAAGATGAACACGCCGTGTGAATCGAACGGTAATTACTGCAAGGAAACCACTTGACAATGGTTGATCATTGAAACGAAGATGTGAAAAAAAAAAAACTTAATGTGGTTTTATGTCGTTAACGTGGCGCCTGGCATGTCTATACTATATACACACCTATACACAATATATACGTATAACATAAATAACATAATATTATATATTTATATATATACGAGTATAAATATTTAACGTTAGAGACGTTTTATATATCTTTGACATGTGAAAGAAACAAAACATTGTGCGTATATATTTATATGTGTATAATGTCGTCATAGAAAACAAATTAGAAAAATACGATGAATACAACGATATTGAGATTTTGAGTGTATGATAAACATTAATTTCCAACGCGTGTGACAAACTAGATTAACTGTAAAAATTGGTCTACTAGGCGACCTTCCAGTTCATTTTGGATGGATGTAATACTTTGGCTATCTGAGTTTTATTGTATTTTTTGTGGTTAGTTTATAATTTGCTTCGTTTCAAACAATTTTTTTCTTAAAAAAAAAAAAAAACTGTCAAAATAAATTATCACAGATGTTGTAAGCTATCAACTATTCGTGTACACTGAAATGATTCATTTTTCAAATATAACTTTTTCTGCAAGCATATATTATATAAATGAAATGTAGTTATTACATTTTTAATTATAAGACTTCAAAATATTTATAATAGGTACTTAACAGTTATCAACGCATTTAGAAAACATACATATATTCGAATGTTTATATCATCGGAGTATTAATTATATTTTAAATTATAAACACCGCGGCTCATAAAATTTAACATATTATTATTATTGTCGTATTGACGACACTCGTATAACATTGCTGATGAACACAGATTTAGTATTTTTTATTATTTCACTACACTTGATATGTTATGTGTTCTCAATATTTTTCTAAATTTTTATATTATTTCATAATTTCGTGTATTCAACAACTACGCTGATGTGCAAAATGCATTCGGTACGATAATAACAAGATCACCGTTCTTTTAATACCATATTCTAACTATTAGCGTTGTTCACCGATACACTTTCTTCGGAAGCCGATTCCGTTAGTAATATGTTATACAACAAAACGCGTTCACGACCACGCGGCGGGGCTACTTGAACCGACCGCAACCTCATCGACTTTGAGTTGTTCCAACCGGCGGACGGTTGAAGTTAACGCTAAATGTCAGTGTTCACTCTTTGTCGGCTCGCCGTACACGTAATACGGACGGTCACCACCGCATACATACGCTATCGGACAAAACATCCAAGTATTTATTCTCTTCGTCGTACGTATAAAGGTTTCGTTATTATTATTACTAGTTCGTGTGATGCAAATACGTGATTATTGCTATTATAAACTCGCTGGGTTAAAATTGTAATTATTGCCTGTATAATATATACATATAGTGATCATTTCGAGACGTTTGTATCGATCAATCGGTTAAATCGGTTGTCTTTCGGAATCCAACGCCCTTACACGCATATATAGGAGTATTATTCATACGTAGTTCATCGTAACGCGCGTCTGTCTGGCGATGACATTCATCTTTAACTTATTCCGTCGTACGCGATCATTACAATACGCTGCAGATGAAGATCTATGTATTATATTCGTGCGCGCACGCGTCTCGTGAATAAATAAAAATTTTTTTTTTCTATTCGTCCACAATAAACGACCGTCTACTCACGTAATCCATCATCACACCCCGTAGCCCATTCTGCGATAATCAACGGTAATATAATTTCGCTCGTCGTGCCTGCGTGGTTAATAAATAAATATCTGCAAAGACTATTGTATATAAATTATATATATATATATGTGTGTGTGTGTGTGTATTTGTGTGTATATGTATTGTATATGTACACTGAATATACACTTAACATCATTATTTCAACATTTATCTTTAAGCCGAATAATGATTTTATAATAATATCGGTCCTACGTGTTTTCATAATAAATTTTTGTTTTAAATTATGAACATATTTTTTCTAAACAAAAATAATGTAATAATCACGTATGTGCTAAAAAAAACTAGGTTATAAATGTATCTTAAAAAATTGAACTACAATTTTATTTTAAAAACTCGATTGAATTTTAACAGCCTGAAGTTGTATAAGCGCAACGTTCAAACTATGCATATTAACATGTCTGTATTATTGTCCCTTCATTCTAAGTTAAAAAGGAATTACAAGGTATCATAAAATGTTATGTAACCACAGCTGTAGGCGGAGGAATTCAAAAGGGCTTAAAACCACAATGTTTGCGGCGTGTTGGTTTGTGTGGGCTCCTTTTATATGAAATGAATTGTACGTAATAATATGTACCTATAAATTCGGTAGATATACATCCAGTTTCAAAACCTGTCAAATTGTATGCCTATCAGTTATATGCATACGAAATGTGTTGCTATTTTTAATGAACACATTAAATTAAGGTTTATATTTTTTTCAGACTTAAAGTTACCGCATTTTACCACTCGACGACAATTAGTGTTAGACAATTTAAAAATGACACAAGGCATTCTACCGAAAGATTCACATGCTCAGAAGCATACTAACACCGATATGACGTAAGTATTTATTGAACACTATTTTAACTTGATACTGAATTGATTAAGCAATCCAATATACTGTACATAGTTTTTTTTTTTTTTTTTTTTAATTTTTACTATGCAGTCAAATACGACATTGGTTTATGTAAACCGATAGGAAATTTGATCAAATCCGATTCCTATGTTGATTTAGATCTCATAGTGTTGTGTAGAATACTTGCGTTGATAATACTGAATCCATATCATAAAGTATAGACTATAGTGTTCATGTAAGCGTCACAAAACCAGTTTTACCAGTCAATTATGACATGTAATTGAATTATTTCTATCAGAAAAAAATAACTCAAAAAGTTATATTACGAATTATGTGTGTATATGGAGAATATCGTAACTACAAAAATATAATAATATAATCCAAGACGCGATTTTAAGTTGTGTTTAAAAAAAATATCTGTTCTTATGCATGATGTAATGTTGAAAATATCCGTGTATTAGTATAATGTATCCTCAGTTTATACAAATATTATATTTTGAATCAAAATTAACTGTTTATATCACAGAAAGTTTTCGAATTTTGACAGCAACAAATTAATATTTAAATGCCAATGTTTCATTATTTTCACTAATATATATATATACAAATATTTAACGATCGAATGAAAACATAATCAGTATATTAAAAAACAAAATGCTCAGATACTACTTCAACCTTCAAATATGCTTGCGTATATTATAATATAACTGTAAGTAACCCATCTATATAATATAGATTAAAACTGGGGGGAGAATGTGCATACGATGAAGATAGGGAGAAAAGAGAATATCCTGGGATGACTTTATCCATTAAAAAACCGTTTGCCCGTTACATACGCGCGCGCGCGCATCAACACTCACTCATACACATACACACACACACACACACACACACACACACACACACACATATAGGTATATAATGGCCTCAGAAATATTTCTTTTTATACAAACATACATACTGTCACTATATGATACTCCTCGTGTACATCGCTCCACTTTTCTTTCTTAGCATTGAACACGGTCACGAGCTCTCCGTTTACACACGGTGCGCATTCATATTCAAATGTGGCACATAACGAGCAATTAATAATTACCATTGCCGGGGTCAGACGCTGTTATATATATTTATACGTATGAATAGACGCTATTGTGCCACTGAGAACCACTGGTTTAAAAGTATAAAAGTATTAAAAAAAAAAAGTACAAAATAAAATACCATATTATCCTAAAACACTATGCACGCCTGCGCTGCTGTCCACCCACTCGGGTTATGCTTGCGCGGCTATACAAACTCGCCAATGAATAATGAAGCATGTGACTTTTGGAGACGAGGTACAATGACGAACGGGTGTAACTATAGGCACTGCACGCGCGTATATATGCTGTACGATGTGAAAAGACCGCGAGTTTTTCAACGCGAACACAATACTCTACACGAACAATATTTCATTCGGTCGATAAGATAAATAATAATAATAATAATCTTCGAGGTGCGAACATACGCACATACACGTGCGTGCGTTTATAAACTCGTGTATATACACAGAGCCGTGAGGTATGTATAGCCATGTGGTTTGAGTTCTTAGCGATCAACACCAACGCGGTATACACGTGAACCTTAAAAATATCTACATTATAATAGCATCAAAGCAATGCTTAACGAGTTTGATATTTCTTTTAAAAAAAAAAAAAAAAAAAAACTTAAAATAGAAATCGTATTAAAAACAATTGCAATTATTCACTTGTTTTTACCGTACGAAATGTAATAATAATAATAATAATATTCGGAATAATTATGTAAAACAACAATGTATATATTAATAATAATAATAATATTATATAGTTATAAATAATAAATAATATGTATAATAGTATGTTTGCAGTGATGACATTTTGATGTGTATACTTTCATGTAGGTACCTTATAATAAATTATTTTTATTTTTATTTTTTTGTCGAAGAATCGTCATTTTATATTGCGTTGAATCACTCTCATTTGCATTTGCTATTATTAAAATAATTAAAGACACCATTTGTATCACCCCATGAAATAAACAATTTTTTAGGGTGAGTTTCGTTAAACAGAAACATTCGTTACGTTGAGGTCCGACTGTATATCGATCAGTATTATACGTTTATTTTATTCTCGTGCGCACGGCGGAGACTCCCGTTAGACCAAGCAACGTAACAGTGAAATACAACAATGTACGCATTTACATACGGTACACGCGTATCACGAGTGTTCCGAATCCGACGTGATTATAGACTTTCGAGGGGCTTCCGGGCTGGTTGTTTTTTTTTTCAAATAACATCGCTCAAAAGAACCGTGGTGGCGGTATGCGAAAAACCATCATTTCCGACGACGTTGACAAAAACAATATTACCACTGTTATATACCACATTATCGTTATCGTACCGCTGTTGCCGTTGTCGCAGCTCGTCGCGTACCAATCCGGTAAACATATGTAAAACGTGCACGGCAACGGGTAACGGACTGCGAGCCCGTCGTCGTATGCTTAACCGAAGCGAAGACAAAGAGTACGCGCTGCATATTGTGCACTACAGCTACACGGCCCGAGTGCGCGCGGGTCACGCGTGACGGGGCTTTGTGTTGTCGGACCGCTGCGCCGGTCGTCGTCGATACACATGCCCGCACGGCCGTTCGGTGTACGCGCCGTCACCGCCGGCCGACGTCGTTGCTGTCGAATTCGCTCTGCGTTTTTTCATTCATCCGATGCACTGCGATCGGTCTCTGTTTTTGTTTTCCATTTTATATCACCGTTCAACTCATCGAGGGCGATCGCGATTACCGCCAAATCTTCCATAGAAAAATTACCAAACATTTTCACGTGAGTTTTACTCTACATACGATAACGCACTACGCATCGCTACTAAATTGGTTTGCTTGTTGTCCACTAATACAGTGTATGTGGAGTGCTGGTTAATATGAAACCTACTGTCTGTGCCGTGTCTGCCACGCGTGGTGTCTGTACATGTGAATTGACCTTAAAACGTGTGCGGCAGGAGGTGTACGAGTTTGCGGACCGCGTGCTTTTTAATTTAGAACCCGATCGGTTCAAACGGTTTCGAGGATATGTTCGGTTGGTCGTCGCCGCACTCATTCAAATGTTTCCACGACGATAATACATCGATTGAATAACGCGAACGGTGTTTTTTACCGTACATGTAAACGCATTGTAATCTGATAATGCAAAGTGCTTTGCTCGCTTGCAATATTATTACTATTGATGTTGTTTTTCCATCGTTTGGTAAACGGTACGCGCGAACCAGATGAGATCGGCTCGTCGTTGAAGATTATTATTGGACCATCGTCAATGGCCATCCGATAGTAGACAAATTATTCGCAGTGAACTCTATCGTACCGCTTTCGGGTATCTGCAAACGTTTCCACTCGAATGGTGACAAATTCACCTCTGGCAAACACGAAGCGACGGTATGCAAGAGACAATGAATGGAGGGGGAAAAAACGAATAAAAAATAACAGTCGTTTAGAAAAGTTATTAGATACATTTCGATTGATTTCCGTTAAGGAGTTGAAACGATTGCATGGCGACGGAGAAGGAAATGATAATAGATACACGTTATACACAGACATTAATACAAATATATAAAATACGTACACGCACAGAAAAGAAACGAAACGACTCGAAAGAGCGCGTGGGAGTGTACTGCGCGCAGCAAGGTCATGCCGGTGACCCTGGCCGTGTTGGAAACCGATGGCGGCGGCGGCGGCGATGACGATGCCACCGTGTTCAAACGACCGGAGATCCGGCCACGGTTCGTTTCTCTGTCCTCGACGTGTTTCGAAAAGAACAAAATGAAATTGTTCCGCAGCAGTTAGTGCCGTGTTACTTTTGTATACGAACGAACAAATAACGCGGTGCGACGGCGACGTCGAAACGAGGATTGGCTTTTCCGCGATGGAGAGAGGAAAATAATGTGCGGGTTGTGTGTGCAGCGAGTGCCCAATGCGATAAATCGCGCTCTGCGTTCCTGCCCCGTTTCGCTCTCTACAAAACGTAATCGAAGCACTGCGTTTTTGTCGTTGCCGTACGCGTGTGCGCAGTGCAACGGTATTCGATGTAGTTTTAATAGTGTTACACCGGGTGTAACACGGTTATCTCCGGACCGGGTCAAGAACGGCCAACGGTGTCCAGTGGTGGTCGATGCAGTCCGTCACCGGTGGACGAGTGTAAAAATCAAACAATGAAAACCAAACCGGCTTTAATTCGCCATTGTTCTCCGTGGTCGTCGTGTGTTCAGTCCACCTCAAAGCACCAGATCCGGTACATTTTGTTATTGTTATATATTATTACGATATACTATGGATGATTGTGAATATTTTTTTTTTTTTGGTTCAAACAAATTATCATCAGAGGTACCTATTTACTTGTATGTTTATTATTACTTTATTACTTCTGGAATATCGCGAGAAATAGTGGTATCGACGTATGTAATATAATTCCTTTTTTTTTGGCTGGGTGACAGATCACTAATGCCAAAGACATTTTTATGATCTATTAAACTTTATTGAGAATAATACATATATATATATATAAATATATATAAAATACATATGCATGTGTATGTGTATATATAACATTAAATGCTTTGGAGCACAATGAAAATGATCATAAACGCGAAAAAAAAATAGAAGAAAGAAACTGCAGCGAAAAGAAGAAAGCTATCAAATTTATTGGCAGTAGCTCGTTTGAGGCGTGGTCAACTACAAAGAACGATAGTAATGCACGAGTAATGTCGTTCACAATCTTTAAACTGACCGTAAAATTGACGTTCCTTGAAAAGTGTATAAATAAAAAACTTTGCATGTACTCATATTATCTACATACACCGACTGCTACAAAAAAAGTTCGAAAAAGTCCAGATATCAGTATACACAATACGTTTGAACAGCTTTCCCCCGTAGTTGTTCACCATGGGGTGGATACAGATAATAGTATA